CACACACACACACACACACACACACACACAAACACACATACATACATGCACACACACTCACACACATTGTCTCCTCCTTTCTCTTTCTCTCTCTTGCTAACTTCTAATCGAGATGTGAAATGTCTGTAACATTTAAAATTGTTTATTCTAAACAAAACCCACCCAAACATGTGTTCCACCCTTCCCCCTCCCGGGGCAGTGCCACTGACTGAAGTGTCTTTAGGCCATTCCCAAAGGGGGACATTTCTCGTTCATGCATAGTAGAATTGTAAATGGGCTGATTCATCTACATGTATTTCACGCTCATAACCGTGTCTGATCTACTACAGGGAACTGCTGTTTCTTCTTTCCTATTAATTGTCATTTCCCTCTACTTCTTTTGTATGTTTGTCACACTCTTGTGGCCCACTATTTCCGGGGTGCCTTGACAGTCGAAGCAGACGTTGTGCTGTTGAAGTTGGTTAAAGCTAGAGAGGTGAGCAGAATAAGTCTGATTCCCTGTAAAGACTTCTCAGTTGACATCCACCCCTTGGTGCTCATATGACCTTATGCAGTTACGAGCGCCGTGAAACCTCTACAAAAACTTTTTCAAAAAGCATGTGTTCATTCAAAGTGGTTAAGTTGCAGTACTATAGCCTAGGCTAATAATACAACCTATTGGTGTTCATTTGGTATCGATGTCGAGTGATGGCGTCACTGATTACCCGAACATCCGCGAATACCGGATGCGGTTATTTCAAAACAAGGCCCGGCACAGCCAACAAAAAGCAACACGGGTACTCTCAGACTCTGACTCAAGAAAAACGACGCGCCACAACTTCTTCGGGCCTCGTTTCTAATTCTAGACCAAATTTCCTCATACACTGGAGCACGCTTTTCTAAATATAGGATGCAAGTAGTTTAAAAGGTTGGCGCTCAAAGAGATCAGCAGTGCCCAAGGACGTACAACAAAAACCTGCTTGCTAGTGCCTCACTCTGACCGTTTTATTCTTGCTCGCAGTCGCGTTAAGTAAAGGTTGGCACGCGCTGCAAAGTGTCTCATTTTAGCTCGCAGTCTCGGTGATAAACGCAAGATCTAGATCTATTTATCTAGATCACCTGCAGGTGACCATCCCCGGAATCTCACAACTGCCAGGAGGAATTCAGGAATTGTGTTATTTAAAAGGAAAAAAGCCTCCTCACACAGACCACCTCAACGTTCCACATACGTGACAATCGAAAATGGAGAAAGCCTGCGCACGTTCATTTCTTACCTTGACTGCTCTCGTCTTTGTGGGTAAGCTGGCGTATCTTCTATTTGTTAAAAGTATTTTTTTAAATTTGTAAGCGTTTTACTGTACTATTTGCAACGCAATTAGGTTATAGATCTATAAGTGCCGAAGATTAGGTGTAACAAGAGAGTAACAAATACATACAAGGAGGAGAGATAAGGACAAAGTTTGATAAGGAAAAAAGGAGCAAGCCACACCAGAGCACCCGTCAATAACCGGTTTTCTATTCTTCTTCCTGGATGTGTGTGTGTGTGTGTGTGTGTGTGTGTGTGTGT